ATGTTTATAATATCCAATTGTAGGGATTTTTCTTTTTATATTTTTATATTTTTCATATTTAAATTAATACATGATTTGTACGCATATTATATGCTTAATCCCTGCAATTGTGTATTATATACACATAATATTTGTACCCATTTTCCTGATGTAGTTCTTAATACAGATTTAAAACCTGGCTTTAGTTGTGAGGTAGGTGAAGAATCAATTGTATGCGAAACACCTTCTGCAGCAATCAATTATATGTACAAAAAAATTACAAATAAGAAAGGAACAACATATTCTAGAAGTAACAAATGAATTATTGAAGGATGTAGATTTTCAACCTTTCATGGTTACTTTAGAAAATATAAATATTTTTATTTTTGCAATTGGTTCAGGATGGAATGCAAATTGGGATGGTGTTGGTGAAGGATTTTGTTCATCTTTCACATCAAGATTCAAATCAGAATCATGTCATTTTGTGCAAAAGATAATTAAAAACAATTGCATAATTGAGATCTATAAAGGTAATGAATGTATAGCAAATTTTAATGGAGCAACCCCAACAGAGGTTTGGAAAAAGACTGGAGTTTTAAAAAAATACAAAGGTGAAGAGCTTTTTGGTGTTTCACATACAGTTGTGTCAAATGAATTTCAAAAATATCAACAACAACAATCAACAACTGCTACTTGTTTGCCAGAAGAGTGGAAAAATTGAGAAATTATTGATAAAATTTTTGAAGATAATCTCAAAAAAAAAATAGGTGTATCAGGGTTAAATTGGTACTCTATTTTTGATAGTTTTTATGAACAAAAAAGCTCCATAATTGAATTGACTTCATCTTTAAAAAAAATTTATCCACAAGAACATGAGTTTACTTCTCGTGAGCTTAGAGCTTGGCATACAATGATGTCAAGAGTAGGTTGTCATGATGTAACACCATATCCAAAAGAGAATTCAAAGGTATATAACATTTATTGCTTTATGTAATTTCATATAAACAATAGAAATTTATATATCTTTGATTTTCAGTTAGAGTATTGGAGTAAATCAAAAGATCCTACATTAGATCATGAAAATTTATTGAATTTATACCAAATTGGAGTCTTGAGTAATTCAAATGAGACAAGATTTTGGTAAATCTATTGGTGCCAATGTCAGAGGAATGAATGGCAAACAAAGAATTTTGTCCATAGTTGCTGATGAATTTAAATATGAAGAATTAGAATCAAAGTTAAAGGTAATTGATATAATTTTCTGATTTAATTTTCAAAAAATTTGTCATTTTATTATATTGTAATAATTACATCAGCAAGAAGATATAGTAGACTTAATGGTCCTGGTGGTATTGCATTATCCAAACCTATATTTAAAAGAAAAAAAATGATTAAGGTAAAGAAAAACAATTTGAGGCTTATAAAGTGGATGCAAAGACAAATATGCCAATATTGTATTTGAGAGATCAAAAATCGGAACTATGGAATAAATTTTCACAAGAATATCCTGATGGCATGAAAAAAACTTCCTTTATGGCCAGATTGGAAAATGGACCATTCAAATATAGAGAGGATCTTGGTGGGCTATGTTCAATATGTAACACATATGGATACCAAATTTTTGAAGATTTACTGGCCTTGGTAAAGTCAGATATTATTGATAAAAATATGCAGGTAAGTTTATCAAGTTTATTAAATAATTATTCTAAATCTTATATCATTATATTTTACTTAGAATCAATTCATTCATGAGATTGAACTTATACAATTTCATCTTAAACGAGGATTTGAAAAACACATTCTTGTTTCAAAAGAAGGCAAAACATTACATAATGATTGCATCAATCATTGCTTACTTTATGCATTTAATGCATGCAATGAAGTACATTTATCAAGATGCAATGAGTGTGATAAAGTTTTTGATTTATTTATTAATTTGAAAAACCATATTTCAGAAACTAAACAACAGTTATTAGAAGAAAAAAAAGATTATTTGTTTTATTATTGGTCTCATCAAGCTCGTAAAGTATATTTGAATTCTCAATTTCAAGCCAATTTACTAGAAATAATAGATGATGAAGGTGCAGTTATTGTGGCAGATTACAAGATGCGAATTTTGCCAAAATCTGCAAGAGAAACAAAAGAAAGTTTCTATGGAAAAAAAGGTTGGACACTACACACAATATTAGTTTTTACTAAATCACAAAATGCTAAAGAAGAATTGGAACTGACTGCCTATGACCATTGGTCTAATGATACCAAGCAGGATGCATCTTCATTTGATTGCGTATTTGAAACACTTGATCCAAAACCTAAATGGATTAAAGTTATTACTGATAATGGTCCACATTATCATTGCTCAGAACTTATGACAATAATAACAAATTGGTATGATTGGTATGGAATAGAAATTTGTGAATGGACATTTTTGGAACCAGGAGAAGCAAAGACCACTATAGATTCACACCATGCATCTGTAAGTTATCCTATATTTATTTGCATAAATTTAAAAAAAATAAAGAAATAAATATTGTTGTAGCCATCTCTATCTGAATTACTAAATAAGTGGAAATGAATTTCAAATTTTCAGATATATATTAAATTTTTACCAATTTATGTTAGATTGCTCATGCAATAAAAAGATATATTAGGATTGGTTTTGATTTGAATAGTGGTGCTGATATTGAAAATTCCTCCAAGGGTGTTCGAGGAACAAGAATAGCCAATCTACAACCAAATAGAATGGAGCATGTTAATGTTAAGACATTGTCTGGAGTTTCTAATTGGTTTAATTGGAGGTGGCCAAAAGATGGAGATTTAGCTGGATATATCCAAGTACAAGAACTACCATATATTGGTCAATGGAAAGATATTTCTCCAACTCAAATTTCTAAATTAATGAAAGCATCAATTCAAAAACCAACCCCAACTAATACTCCACATTCAATTCCTAAAACTATTTGGACTATGCCACAGCTAAGGAACCCTCAAAATTATAGTTTGTATAAAATCTGTTTTTATAAAGTATTTCTTATATATAATGAAAATTTTTTATAAACTAATAATATTGTTATGTGAATAATTAGATAAAATATTAGTTGATGAGTTAAATACACTATCAACACTTGATTCACAATGCAAGCATAATTTTTTTTTTTTATAATATAAATAAAATAGTCTTGCTTATCTTATTCAATTATTAGCTCAACCACTTGAATTAACATTTGAACTTTCTAAAGGCTGGGCACTAAAAGGTAACCAGAAATATGGTGGTAATCATATGTCCATACAAATTACAAGCTTATTAGAAAGTTTCTTTCTAGCTGGAGAAGCTGACAAAACTAGAAAATATACAGCTGAAACTATGTTGGGAAAGTTAAATAATATGGTAGAAGAAGATGAAATTGACAAAAATGAGGTTCCAAAACTCCAAACTATTCATGGATGGATATCCACTTATGCAGCAGTATTTAAAAAGAAAAATGCTAAGAGAACATTATCAGAAATTACTTCAACTCAAATGAGTAGAAAACATTTTATATGTTGTATAACCATTTTACAAACATGGTCAATTATTTTTTTTAATTAGTAAATGTGCTGTAAATGTGCCCCGCATTTTCTATTAAAACCCCCCTGGTTGATAAACGATCTGCGAATTAATATAACTCACAGTTATTATGCCTTGGAACTATATTCTGGTCAGTTGGAGCTTTTCTCAATGCACATGACCCACCAAGGTGGTTTCATGAATCCTTGATTCCTGCAGTCAATTGGCTAAAATGAAATAACAACCTTATAAGAAAGTATTCAACTAACATAAATATTTCAAACCCTTCACCAGGAGATCCCATCCCCCTTCAATTACCTCTTGCAAGACAATCAACAAACAATGATGATACAACCTTTAATATATATTGTAGCACTCTACCTGATGATACTCCAAGACCACCTGACTTAGTTATCCCAAATGATTCATTCCCAACAGAGATTCATAATGAAAATGCAAACTACAATCATCTAATAGCAGGTTCAATAAGAGTCAACAATAATAACCTTCCTATATTGTTTGGAAACCCAGACTTGGAAGCTCTCATGTTCCCAGATTTATTTCCAAATGGGAGAGGTCATTATGAAGATCTGAAAAGGTATTAAACTTCCAACCTTCAGTGGATAGTTATGGAAAATATATTAAACTAAGGTTACTTTGTCCTGACCCTCGATTCTGATTGCACTGGTACTGGCCTCACTGGTCATATCTAAACCTTGAAAAAAAAGAAACCTTCAAAATCAACATCGTATATTAGGAACTCGGAATGTAAACAGAGAGCACCACCCAAACAGAGTCAACCTAATTGCTCAAAGCACTTATAATAACTATAATATTATAGATGAATCCAAAACTACAACCCTACCTTCAAATTTGAGAACTGCAGCTCCCTTCTTCAAAAAAAAGTAACATCAAGTAAACACCATGTTATATGCATATGGATTGCCACAAACCTTTTACACCCTAACAATAGCTGAGGACAAGTGGTACCACCTACATGAAATTCTAAGAGCTACTGACAATGGAAACATTATACCAAGCAATCGCCCATTTCACACATACCTTCATTATAGAAATAGATTAACAAATGTTAGAAACAAGTTGTGGAAAAACCAAAATTTGGTACATTGGGGAAAATGGCTTCATCATTTTGAAAGGGATGAATTTCAAAATCGTGGATCAATCCATACACATGGGTTTGCCTACACAGAAAAAAAGGTCCCAGAATTGATCTCACTAAATACAATCCGAGCAGATGTTCCTGATCCAAACACTGAACCTGAATTGTACAACTTGGTAAATATGTTTCAAGTTCATCATTGTGGGCAAAGATGCAGGAGGGAAGAATCCAATAATGAGCAATGTTTGAAGGGTTTCCCCCAACCATTGTCTGGTTATGAATGATTTTCCTGTTCCTGCAGAACCTGTCAAAAAGAAATAGGGATATTTTCCATTAGTAATTTCCTCCCAGGAGTTGCACAATTCACTGTATACTTTAAACTGTTCATTGTCAAAGGTTAGTGAGGTTGTTGTACTTATGTAGGGACAGGATTTTTCAAGTGAGACCAACTGTTGGAACATGATCTCTGTTAACTCTTGGTTGTGGAGCTCAGGTAGGATTGTATTCAGGATCAATTTATATGTATCTGACAACTGGTTCCTCTGCTCCAAGTAACTATTCCTTATTGAATTGACAGCCTGGTTGTATCTCAATGAGAATATTGCTTGAAATTTTTCTCTATATGTGTTGTAACCACCTTTCAATTCTTGTTCTGATCTTGCTGGAAAAAGAGCTAGAAAACAATTCCCACTCCAAAATGCCTTCTCATTGACTGTTCATAAAACACAGGGTTTGACCT